TCACGGGCTTCCCATCCACCATAACATTGGCGGAGTAGTTGTCGAACCTGACAGAGGTAATGATGTGAAATGAGATAACATCATCAGGTTTAACACTGGTTAGTAAAATATGAACATGTGATGGGAACTAAACACAAAACTAAAGTCTTAAGATGGAAAACAACATCTTAATTGATCTGCGCCCTTTTACCTATTCAGCATTCTCTGGAAATGACTCATCACTTATTGAATCTAAGTCTTTACGAATCAAAATCTTGTTTGCAGGCTGCTGAGTCAGCCCGTGACACACTGACAGCGACACATAGTTTACATAGCTCGCACAGCTGCAAACAGGGAGCAGGCTTTCCTCTTAAATTCACGCAAAATATTATATTCCCTAAATCTTTTTTTTAGGCTTTGTTGCAGTCCACAGCAGTGATTGTAACCTGTTCTGCAAGAAAATCAAACTGTCATCTAAAAAGAGTAACTGTAGAGCGAGACGCCACCTTAATTATGCAGCGGCTGTATAGGACACAAGGGTGGAGACAAATGATGGGCTGCTATTGTCAGCTTCTAGTCTTACATAAATACATAAATAAATAAATAAGTCACACCGGGCTGCAGTCGCAGATAGATACTCACACTGTGGGGATGTACTCTCCAGGAAAGGCATTGGTGGTGTAGCTGATGAGCAGGCAGGTCTTACCCACAGCTCTGGAAGGGTGAAGGAGAGGGAAAATGAGTTGTTGTTGTTGTTGTTTATGATTTCATCCTGCCAAAAGGCGGTCATGCAAACAGCCATTCTGGGTATGAGTTGATATGGATCACTCCTTCGTACAACTGCTTCTGGGTCTTACAGCTCCTCAACCAGCAGGGCAACAGTAAGGCCGCGACTACGGCTGCACGCTATGGTAAACACATTATATTTTGAGGTTATTGTGACAGGTGACTGCATTTCTCTGTGGGAATTATCTTTTTTTTTGCATCACGAGGACAAAAACCTTATTAAAATCATAATGTAATGATCTTTTTGAGGGTCTGTACCAAACAAACATGTTTTCCAATATGTGCTGTTTCGTCACACATTTTCTCTTTACATTGGCCATATTGCAGGTTTGATAATGTTTCGATTAATTGTGCGGCCCTAGATACAATTAACAATTATTGTCATTTTCAATCTGTCCATCGTTTTCTCCATTATGCATTTGGGCAACAAAATGTCAGAAAATAGTGAATAATGCGATCAGATTTCCCCCAAACTGAAATATTCAGATTCGTCTTACTGTCCAACTTCTGAAAACCGAAATATATTCGGTATACTATCGTATAAAAACACTATGAACCCAACAGTTATTCACATTTGAGAAACCATAACCATTGCCATTTATATTTAGACTTTAAGTCTTCTACTATTAATCAATTCTCAGATTTCTTCTGCAATTTTCTTTAATGTCTTTTCATTAATAATCAACCGATCGTTTCAGCTATACTCAAATCTCCAAGTAAAAAACAAATAGTGTTAAATGCACCCTGTTCTTCCCCTTTTCTTTGAGAGAACAGACCTGCGTGGATTTAGTTTCTGCAAGATATGCATAAAAGACCACTACAGGAGTTTTTATTTCCCAAATATGAAACCGAAGTGCTGCATGCATTAACACGAAACACACATTTAATAATCCATTAAACACAGTCATAGGCCTGTGAATGACTCTGCTGCTGCGGTATCCACCACACCCTCAACAAGAGGTTATGAGTGTATTTTCCTCCCACATATTGTTACACATCTGAAGGACTGTTTCAGATGACCAATCATTTATCTGTCGCAAGGCCAAAAAAGGGGTTTTAACTTTTAAACAAGGAGCTGAAAACAGGTCGCATGTGTAACACAACATTAACAGCACACAGCAACTATCACCAGTCAAACGACGGACATAAACAAAGCGCTTAACTCTCTTTATTTCTCAATTGTTGCCAAACTGAAACTTCAGCTGTGGTTAGGAGAGATATATGAACTGCCCAGTGGTGTCTGACTCACCTCAGGGTGAGGACAACAATGTAACCGAGATTCATTCAGCGTTAAATCAAAGATTAGCACACAAACTCTTGCATACTAGCTATTTTGTTTTCCAATATCAATAATCATTAAAAGCGATAAACTAAAACCAGGAAAGTATATAAGTTACCTATAAACCAAAAAAACAAACCCATGTAACATAAACAGGTTTAGTTAAAGTTAAACCTTGCCTCGCTAACTTTACCCCGTTGAGAAATACGCGGAGCAAAACGCTTTTAAAGCTAAGCTAACCTGGTGACAGCTCCGTCTGTCAGCCGTCGCCACACATCGTCCTTTAAACTTAAAGAGCCTTACATTTACACTCAATTAGCTCGATGTGGTTTAAACTCACCCGTCTCCGACAACGACACACTTTATGGCCTGCATTGCGCCGCAGCTAGAGGAATGCTAAGTTAGCCCGGGAGCCAGCTAACGTTAGCTCACAAGTCTCTTTTCCTTTGTCCGGAATCGTTCGCCGGTGAAAATGTCCCAACCGGGATCCGTTAACGGCCTTTTGGGTGGTGCGGCGGAGCTCCCGGGGTTTGCAACAGCGTGCGGGCGGACTTACAGCAACTTATCTAGCACTTTAACACCAAGTTTGCTCAGAAATTCCCTCGCAACATTCCCATGCTGTCGTGGGCTGATCGGGAAGCTGTGAAGCCAAACAGCGGCCACCACCCCTGAGGAGGAAAAACACCGGAGTCAGCCAGACACCGCCAGATGGTGCATCCGGTGTACTGTCCCGATACACGCCCACTCACACTCTGACCGTACGAAAACACGGCAGCTGGGAGTCTTTACGTTCTGAGATACACGAGCACAAAACGTGTCTTTATTTATTTATTTATTTATTATTTTAAAAAAGAACAAATTTAAGTTGGCGTCTTTAAGGAGATTATAGTAAATAACGAGTAAGACGGACAATTAAGAGTGTGACACGGGTTGAGGATATGACGTCGCTCTCCTGTGTTCCCTGGAGTCGGTCTTTCAGGTTGCGTCCTACCTGTACTAACACTAATTACACTGTAAACGGCGCTGCCACATCCAACCATGCAAAGACCTCAAGGTAAAACAGATACAGATACATTTCAGTGCCACGCATAAAGCCTGCCAGGCCTCACTTGTGTGTGTGTTGTAGAGAAACCTGAAGGGACCAGGGGGGGGGTGACAAAGAGGCCCCTCTTCCCATTTCACCAAAGGGGCCCCACCCACCTGGCTGTAAGCAACAATAACAGATAGGATGGTTTAAAGTTGTCAACAAGCAAGTGGAAGTAAGAAAATGTATGCAAAAACTGATTTCAGGGTCATTTTTGGGTCTGTATTTGTAATAGATAATAGATTTGTAAGAGAAATTAATTTTATTAAGGAAAAATGCTTAAATAAGTACATTCTTAAATCTTAAACAGGATGTAACCCTTTGCTTCAGGGAGATGTTTTTGGGCATCTATTTGTAGGGAATTGAAATCGACATAAGATATTGCTATTTGGGGATGACAGGTCTTGTGTTTCATTTTATATCCAGTACAACCTCTGTTGGAGAGGTTACGACAGGATATTTAATACTCTTTTGATCTTTTATTGTAGGATATATAGGCTACGTGAACATTTTTTAGATGGATGTGTATTTTATAAAGAGAAAGTGAGCAGATTAACAAACTTCAGGATGATGTGCTGTAATATATATATATATATAGGGACAGGGGCAAAAAAATAAAAAAAGGGCACCAGCTCGCAGAAAGTTGTGATGCATTTATGGTTTAGGATGAAGGATTACATCCCTAAAGGGCATTTAACCACATTTTCTCCATTAGAAGGACACCCTAAAGAGGGCACTTTAACGTGTTTCATCCACTGGAAGGGCATCCTAGAGGGAACTTTATCATATTTTATCTGCGGGCATCCAAGAGGGCAGTTTTGCAGTGCTTTTTAGAACATGGGCTGCCTTAAAATAAAAAATGGTGTTCCACATAAATAAAATAGAAATAGATGGACTCCAGACAGAATTAGATTTTTTTTTTAAAGTAGGCTCTTAAAACTCTTAAAAGTTTTTTATATTTTCTGTAGTTATTTTTTTATTTATCATTTTTTCCTATACTTTATGGTCGTATGAGAAGTTTGGTTAGTTTGTGTATTGTATGTAGGCAGGCCTGGGCAGTTACAGATTACATGTAACTAAGTTATGTAATCAGGATAGAAAAAGACGTAATCAGATTACAGTTACATTTAATAAAAATGGGGGCTATTTAGCAGGATTACAATTTTAAAATACATCAGTTTTTCACATTTTGGATGCTAAAAATCTTTAAAAAGCTTCCGTTTGTATCATCTTTTTAAAGGTTACATTGTTTTGTTGTTTTATTGAATACACTTGCATCAATTCCTTCCTTTCTTTTGTTTTTGTTTACATATTTGGTGTTGAGGTAATCCAGAAGTAACTTTGATATTGTGATACTTGGTTACTAACTTATTTTTTTAACATGTAATTAGTAACTGTCCATTTACCAACAATCCTTTTATTGTTTTCACAACATAACAGAGAAATACAATTACATGTCTTGAACAAACATGTCTACCCCCCCACACCCACCCTCTCAAGTGAGTCCAAATCTTGGTTGGGAATCAGGTCAATGAATTAGTCCATTCTGATTCATTATATAGAAATAAATAAAACAATCTTAGGTACTGCAAAGTGCCACTGTTTACATGTCCCCAGGCTCTTATAGCAAAAGAAGGGTTCCCAGATCTGCTGAAAATGATGTTGCTGATGTTTTATCGTGTATGTAACTTTCTCCAAGGAGAGAGTTGTAGATACAGGTTAAATATTTAAAGTAACCCTCCCAACCAAGTACGCAGCTACTGTTTGTGCTCATTTATATAAAAACAAAAACACCCGCCTGTCAGTCTAAACTCAGGGGAAGCACTCCCTTCTTAACACCCTTCCAACTTCCGTGTGTGTCACAGCGTTATGAGTCCTCTTAGTGACCATAACAGGAATCTGTGGGGAAGCTGTCGGGGTGGAGCACCGCTGACAACACAACCAGCCGATGTAGAAAAAACAAAAAAAACACAGAGGAGAGAAAAGAAAAATGGAGCTCGGCGTCAGTCAGCGATAGAAATATGAACCGTCTCCCTCTAACGGCCTCTCTCTAACTGACACAGTAACCTTAGCAACCGCCGGACCGGACCGTTAGCCCGTATGGCGGGTCTGACATATTTAGTGCTCCGGTTCTCGGGCTCCGCTGGTCGGACGTACGGAGTGTTTTCCAAAGGCTTGACGAGGACTTTGTTGATATTTTTTGATCTCGCATGGCGACTACGAATCCGATTCCCTTACATCTACCTCGTCGCTTCGATGATGTTTAACGTCAGGTTGCAGGTAAACGGCTCGTTGATTGTTAAAGTGAAACCAGGTGTCTGCCGGTGGAGTTTGTTCAGTTCACCAGCTTGGTAATGTAAATAAGCCAACAGCTGATGGGACAGGCCCTTCATGTTGAGTGAGTTGTGAACATGGTGCAGTGCGAATATCTGCTGTTTAATGGTTGAATGAACCACACTGTGAATGTTTTTTACTCCGTTTTAAAGCAGTTTATTAACTTAGCTGACACCTAGCTGAACATATAAAGTTTAATGCCTGCATTGAATCATATGGTGATCAATTGCAAATGCAGTTAGTACGTTAAACTATATATTTTGTATGTAATACTGGGCTCAGTTGTCTATAACGCAGTCAGGGCTGCAGCTAACTATCTGTTATTATGGATTCATTTGCTTTGTACTTGTAATACTTTGTTCATTAGTGGTCTATGAAATGTTGTTAAATGCTAAAACATTTCCATTGTAGCCTGGCTGACACAGGCTGATACTGATATCTGGGAGTTTAACAATCCTATAATGATAAATCTGCTGAGAGTAATTTGTTCAAACTTCTGCGTCCTGTAGCTTTTTAATGTTCTTTGTGTTTTTTCTTTAAAGTGTGGCCAAGATACACATTGGACAGGATATTTTACAGTTGAAAAATCAATTTAATAGTCCCCTTACTGCAGTTTCTTGTTACTTATCGGCTGACATATTCACTGATATTGATATATCTGCAGCAAGTTAATATCTGCCATTAGGCCGATGCAGCAGCCTGGCTGAGTCTTTGTTCTGGCTCTAATTTCCACTGCTCCTACTGTCAACTTCTAGACATCCACTGACTGATTTTTACTCTTCAAATGGCAACTGACTTTTTAATTCCTGCCAGCACTTATAAGTATAATTTATTTACATTGTTAGTTCAACCACTCCCAGCGTTTACATCCAGTCAAACATAATTGAATATCAAATTTGGAGCCAATGAATGAACTAACCGAGTAACCGACTAACTTTTTCAGCTCTAAATGCGTTTACGATTAAACAGCATCACAAACTGCAGCCTCCGAAATGAACTCACTATCTAAGAAAACGGCTCCTTTAAAGTTTGTTAACGTTCATTTTTGCCTGACAGCCTCCTCATCTGTTCTCAGGTCCACATCGAAATCCACTGATCCACCGATGCCTGCATTTGGACTCGGAACAATCACTTGTGAGCACTGCCATGTTTCAGCCCTCATAAAAAACGGTCCAACGCTGCGCAGCGACGTGGAGGAAGATGTGGAGGAAGAGGACACGTAATTCTGCAAGCTGGTGTGACGATGCAACAGAGTGCCGCTGTGGCTGGTTGTTGCGGTCAGCCGTCGTCACATGAGCCCAGTGCCTTTGCAGGGGGGGAGGGAGGACGGCAGAGATGTCTGCAAAAAAAAAAAAAGTTCCTGTATGAGGGTGAAAAGGGGGAAGAAACGCTTCACATTCGAGCTTTGCCACCTGAGTTTCAGCAGCCGCTCGTCGTGTCCGTGAGGAGTGTGTCGGATGGATCCTCCTCCTCTGGATATCGAGGACTTTGACGTGGATTTTGCAAACGGGGGGGGGGGAAAGAAGATGATTGTTACTGTGAACTTTGTAGCTACTCTTTGTTGTCTGACATGTAGGTGCTCAGTGTAAACATCTCACTTTAATTTAACAGGTAAATATCTACACCGCATGACACAAAACAAGCATGTTTTTTCGTCCTATATGGCATGGACACTTTACTTAAAGGTTGGGGTTAGCTGTATAAGCGGTTACATGGTCTTTCAGCAGAGGTTTTTGTTGTAGGATTGAAGGTACAACTACCCACGGCCGTTTTACTGGAAATTTACAGTCCGTCGTTGAGCGCAGTCTCAAAGAGAATCACTGCATGTCTTCATTGTGTTCGTACGCACACGTCGTCACACTCATTGTTGTGTTTCTGCATATCAGTGGCACTGAAAAGCGTCGTTGGTGAAAAATGTTACATGCAAAATAATACTTTTTTTTTAGCTGCATTTGTCACAAGTTTTTATTTCTGTGAAAAGGTGTGTGAGGAGGTTTGAAGTCACAGAACTGAGAGTAAGGATAATTGACTTTGGGAAGTAATAAATTAATGAAATCACTATTCTGAGCCTTTTCTGTCGTTCATTTTTGTAACATGTGTTTTGGTACATTTTTAAGGGTGTTTTGAAGAACCTTTGGATGAACACTGGTACAATACATTACATTTTTCTTTCTTTCTTTCCTCTTTACATATGGCCCTCCATGTCTTTGAACATATACACAGCAACATGTGGCAAATCTCCCTTCAACTTCTTTCATTTTCACCTGAACTTTTATCTCTTGTTACACAGAAGTGGAAGAAAATATAAATCTTTACACTAGACACCTAGAGAAACATATAAACAAAAATAAAGAAACATATAGCCTATATGTATGAAGGCGACCCGTGGTGTTTGTAGATAAAAACAAGACAGAATAATCAAATGATACATAAAGTACAACCAGATATGGGAAAATGTGTCTTTAACTGCCTCAATCTTCCACATAAAAAACCTTTCACCTTTTTAGGATTTTTGTCACCTCCCATATTGACACATACAGATTACATGGGACGAACCACAGAACTTTTATTTTAGTAATTTCTACAACTGCGACATCACAGTAAAACTGTTCAGTATCTCTCGAGATATTTCAGACCGACTTCCTCTGCTGGTTAAACATGATTGTGTTGTAGTACCAGAGCTGTCCACACGGGGGAAGCAGCCTATCAGTAGTAGTAATAGAGATCCACCTCCTTTAAATGTTGTTGACAGGCATCCTGAGCTGTCAACCTCTCTGAAGATGATACTGGCTGATACAGGGACAATGGAGCTGCAAGAAAACAAGAATTTCTATTCCTGTACTTTTTAATTGGTCACGACTTATTATATTTATGATAATATCAGTTTTACTCTTACACAATGATTTAAACTTAGAATGTGTCATTCATAAGTATGCTTCCGGAGAGGGAATGTAAACTTGCACTATGAGGTGTATTTGCTTCTTTTCTCTCTCTGATACAGATCAATTAAAAATCCTCAGTGATGTATTTAAGGAGAGCGTGACCTCCTGTAATGAACAAATGTATAGCCAGCAGACCCATTTGACACTCCCCCTTGGACGTGCACTTCTAAGTAGATTTTCAAACGGCTGACACCCTTGCTCAGCGCAAAATGTCCCCAGCAAACTTATCATAACCAGTCACGCTGATGCCAGGCTGCAGTGTAAAACCATCAGGGGTTGCCAAGGCAACAGTATTTCTCCATGTGACAGACAAACCTTCCTGCCCCCCCCCC